GTTTCGGGTGAGTTCATTGTGAAACCTGACCCCACCTTATCATTCGCAAGCTCCTTTGACGTATTGCAGTGTCATTACCTTACAATATCAAGCACCTTGTGGGAGCTGTTGTTGTGATTTGATGCTATATAAATAAAACTGAACTGAATATTTACTAGCCTCTATGCAAGAGTTTGCATAGATATTTACTACAGGCAAAAGGCTACATGTCACTACACCGTAGTTTTGTGCATGCATATTGATTATTTGTGGCAGCTGAGACCTGTGCTAAGTGAAAGTAATACATAAAAGGTCAAACTTAGTAAGAATACCATTGTAACATTAGTGGAAAAGTGCCCAGAGTTATGATTATGGCATGAAAGAAAACATGTTCGTATTTCATCAAATTAATGGAAAGGTGTGAATTTCTGCACACAGTCAGCTAAATCAGTAAATACCAGTTAAACAAGTCTGACGTTCCCTTTAACTGCAACTCACTTAATCTTGTTGACAGGGTTTGTCACGCTGTGCTCCACGGCCACCAGCAGACCTCCCGAGTCCAGAATAGCATAGTGATGGGGTCCATCAAGAGCCTTTATCCAGGTATAGCCACCATCATCAGACACATACACATCTGGTCTCATCACGGAGATAGCATCACCAACACTTCCTGATAAAGCAAATACAGATAAAGAAATGTTAGAAGGGAAAAAAAACCCTCTTATTTATTAAAAGATAAATTATGCTCAAGTTTATTTAAAAAAAAGAAAGTTTAAAAAATTTTTTTATGAAAGCTCTGAGTTTACCGTGAGCTATGATGAGACCCACAGCATTTGGTTCAGTCAGAGGGAGCATGGGGATGTTGAGCTTCTGAGAAGTACTGTAGGCAGCATGGATGTGAAGACTGCACTGCAGATAATAAACCAAACACAGCTATTTATAGTATTAAGTAGTAGATGTGCTGGTCCTAGTTTTCAAATAGAACAATACGGTACCTGTGAACACAAACACTGAGGTTTTTCAAGTGGCTTTAATGTTTTATATTATTAGCTACTAGTAAGAATATATGTGAAGGGACCTTTAAATCACATTGCTCACACACATACACAATAATAATATAAAAGACAGCAACTAATAATATACAAATAACTCCTTTAATATATTATAAGAGACTGAGGTGAATGCTGAGTAAGTAGCATAACAGTGTTCACAGATGGGAGGAGCTCTGTTGCTACACTAGTAAAGAACGATGGCACGGTTGGGGTAAATTTCTAAGGAAGCTTGGTGAATCAATAACCTTAAACCACTGGGTTATATTTCACACAAATCCTCTATCATACAGGCACACAGCCTTGTTATCCAACCAACGCTCATATTTACTGACACAGAGTGTACATTCCTTTGTGCAATCAAAAAAAACCCCCAAAAAAACAGAAGCATCCCTTACTAACACATTCAGGGCAATCAGTTTCATATCCACAATTGAGCTCCTGTAGTTACATGAACTAAACACAAGTTACACAAGTTTTCTTTGCTTGATATACCAAAACACTGTCGATGCTTCCTTAACAATTAAAACTACATCAAATGTTCACTGCCCAACATGACCGACAGTTTCCAGTCTGTAGAGTTTATAAACAACAATCTGAATCCATTTTTGTTTCCTTTCCTCTTCATATAAAGAGAGGAAGGTCTGGGTTGGAGTTTTTGTTATCAACATAAATCGGACTAAAGGAAGAGCTGCATCTGCTTTTTAGAATTTGTTTAGGTTTAAAAACCGCACTCGTTTTACTTTATTTCTCATTACACTGCTTCTGGGCTGAACCTTTACTATGGGCAGGGCTTCAATAGTTAACACATGTCAGAGTGACAGAACCAGGTAAGGCAAAGGTAACACATTACTCAAGGCTAACAAGTGTTTTTCCAGATGACAGAATTCCATGAAGTGTGAAGGAATATCTCCAGGAAAAATAGCTAGTTTTTAAAGCTACACTTCCCAGGCCTGCTGCAGAAACATGTTTAAAAACATCAGCAATAAAAAGACATTACAACAAGCAGCATTTTAAGGCCTGACACCACAGTCCTGGGCTAAACATTTAATGTTTGGTAATAAAGCTTTAAAGTAGATTATTTATTGATTAGTGTGGTTTTATTTTATTTATGCTTTAATGTCATTATAAAAAAGAAAAACCGTTTATTTTATAAAAAATATGTCACTGTAAACATCAAGGCTCAACTGAAAAAGTAGAAGAAGAACTGAGCCCTAGTCTCAATAACATAAGTTTTGATCTGTACTTAAAAAGTGATTTCTCATAGCAGTTTGACCCTGTACTTTATAGACATGTACAACAGTTTTCACCAGGACACATCAATTTTGTTTTTTCTCTAAACAAAGCAACTTCTTCCATTTTCCCCTTTTATTTTATTTATTTTTCTAATATTTTATTTACCTTGTCTGGGTCCTTGGCTGTAGCATCACACTTGCTGTTGGCAGGTTTCTGGAGGGGTACCCACTCCCCTCCCTGGTCAAAGGACACCACAGACTGCACAGAGTTATCTGGAACGACAAGACAAAACTTCTACAGTTGCAGAAACTTTGTGGGAACTCCTGTCTGGAAATAGCATGCTGGGGAAAAAACTTCAATATGTTTTTGTCCCCAGCAATATTTAGTCAGATTTATACTGTCTGCAAGGTTTAGGTGGTGCTCAGTTACTTCAGACAGGTAACACATCTAACATTGAGCAGCTATTTAAATATTTATACAACACCATCTCTCTGGTGTAAAATAGAGCAGTCACAGGTGTGTGTGTGTCTTTGTGCATGCATGTCTGTGTATTGCGTCCATGCATGTGTGTGTTTCAGGGGGAATCTAATTACATGTATATGTTGTTACTTCTTTATCTAAGAACATTCGAATAGAATAGAGTTAGACTAGAGCTACCTTCAGCCAGGATGCTGGTGATAAAAACTCCTCGTAGAGAAGTAACATTAGTGAAGTCTGTATCTCCCCCCGTAGTGGTGTAAAGGTGGCGCTCCAGTGACTTGGAATACACAGTACCTCGGTCGTCTGACACATAGATTGTACCAAATCCAGTATCTGTAGAAAAAAAAAAAAAGTATTAAAATGTAATGTGAGGTAATAATACCCATTTCAAGATACTGTTTCAAGGCTGGTTCTGTAATAAGATCTGCCAAGACACACTCTCTGACGCATAGGTGGGGTGAAACAAGCTCTAGGGCCTTTTTAACAAAAGCCATTTGCAGGCACTGTTCAAACTACCACATAAAACTTTGGCTCACTCAGAAAAGTCCCTGCATCTAAAAGAAAAATCACATTTGGCTTTGTGTGCTAAACATGAAAGTCATCAGAAGTGCTGTGAATGACAATTAATGATTAATGTATGACTTTTGAATGTAACTTATTACTCAGTACAAGGTTAATATGTTGAAGGTCTAGTTGCTCACGTGAGGACGAGTAAAAACCTTCACACTGTAATATAGTAATAAATACCATGCTTTCAGTTCACTCAGTTCTCTACATTCACTACAAGAAACAGTATAGAGTTTCTTTATCTGCTGACCTCCTGGCTCGTCGACATGCATGAAGACCATTTCATCGTTCGCTGCCAGGATAGAGTAGAACTGCTCATGACCAACAGGAGGCAGCTGGGCAATGTTCCAACTATCACCCTGATCCACTGACACGTGGATTGTCCGCAGAGTGCCCTGTGGAAAAGGTGGGGAAGGAAAGAAAACAGATGAAAGGAGGCGAGGACAGGAACAGCTCACATACTTTTATTACTAATACTGTTTACCTGTACTGGGGCAAATTAGAAGAACACTTAGCAAGCTATTCTCATATCTAGGCTCTGATAAATTGAGTAAAAATGACCTCTCCTGAGGGAGGAATATGAATATGCTTATGATTGTATTGCTTTCTGCTAATTTCTCCATCAGTCGCAATGTCACTTTTAAACTTCCTCATAAGTGTGTAGTTACATGAACCAAGTGATATCTCTTTAAAAAAAACAAACCAACAGAAGGAACAGCTATTTTGAATACGCTTGTACTACAACATAATAATAATAATAATAATAATAATAATAATGTCATGAACAGAGAAAAGCAAACAAACAATATTTCGCCTGATCTAGTTTGCATATTATCTAGATTACAACCCGCTGTACACTGACCTTTCCCGTCATTACTGATGCAAAGAGGAAGCGTCCGCCAAGGCCAAAAGAGTAGATCTTACTGGCAACAGTCTTGATGGTTTTGCCGTAGTTGGTCGTCCTCCTCAGTTCCAGCATACCTCGATCACCTGAAAAATTGAAGGAAAAAAACAAAAAAAAACCAAAAACAAACCACAACTTAGACGTGCAAGAGCAACAAATACATGCAAAAATATAAGTGCAGCTAATAGTTACGTGTAATTTTTAAGAGAAATGACAGCCTAAATCGTGAAAATATGGAGGAAGTTAGAGCTGGCTGGGAGTATACATCAGTGTGAAGCATGTTTCCACTTAAATCTTTTATGTGAAAAATTCTACACTGCCCTAAATAAATTCAAGAGACATATTTCATGCACTGCTCCCCAGTCATCTACAACACAAAAATAAATGAGATTAAAGTACATGTCGATTTACTCCAGCGTTGGTTAGATGGGGGAATTACTTACTGCAGGAGCTGTTGAGGCTGGCTGTAAAGTAGATTGTATTTTTTCTTCCCCTAGAAGGAGAATGGAGATCATAGAGTGATTACACAGTCAGTGACATATTTAGTAAAACAAATGCACACTGCTTTATTATGAGTATGTAATGTATGCTTGCAACTTAAACAACAGTGCATGCAGAAGCATTCTCGCAACAAGGAAGAAATCGGGTCTAATACAGGACTCTGCTGTTGTAAGACTACTGTGAAGTCTTGCTTCACAGTGCAAGTCACATGATACTGCTTATCGTATACAACCAGCCCTTTATAAATATGCACTTTCTGTTTCTGTTGAGTGTTGTGTTCAGAAAATTCCTGACCCAGATAAAAGTGACCCATTTTCCTGCAGCCTTTTAAGCCTAACTTCTTTATGGACAGTAACCAAAGGTTATGTTTCAGGAAGACTTTTTTTGAACGCGGAGTTCCTCTGGACACCTGGACAACACAGCCTTAAAGCTGAAACTTAAAAGACAGAGATGCCAAGATAAGACTGTGACAAATGCCAGGAAGAGCCATGAAAAACAGCATTTGTGCTGCAACGGCTTGGCCACAAAATGGGTAGTTAAACAGCCGATAACTGCAATGTAGTTTTAGTGCCCATTTGGGGGGGGAAGAAAAAAGGTGCAGCAACAATAAACCCTGATAGAAAACCACTGAACATGTATGTCCCATAATGACAAAAATTGTATATCTTCCTTTGCTTATCTTAAATCATCAAAGGGGCATGTTTGAATAACTTTAAACACATTAAGAAGAGAGTAAGTCTAAGCATATTTTATTTTGATAAACAATGAAGCACTATATTAGAGACAGGTGGAACTTCACCGTCTTCCTCTGTCTGTAACAATGAGGCTGTTGGAAAAACTAAAAGTCATGCTGCCTTGCAGGTTGTACAATCACTTCCTGAAATACCGCAGCATGCCATACCAGTAAAAAAGCCTTTTGCTCTACTTCCCCCTTAAAGTGACTAAAAACAATTCCATGAAACTTTTTGCTATTGTGGTTATAAAGTAGGTACTTATTCACTGCGCACCTGAAGAAGATTCTGGAGCTATCAGTTTGTCTTTTCTTACCATTTTACCAGACACACCATTCTGTGAATGTTTTTCCAATTTACGCCAAAGTCTTCAGACAGCCACAGCTCATACTGAGAAAGGAAACAACAAAGAATCAGTCAGTACGTATCCGCAACAGCCCCACATAAACATGGGGCAGAACAGAATTCTATAAACCAGTTCACCGACTCAAAAGCCATGCTTATAAATGCACTGTGTGCAAACGTACAAAACAATGAAGACTGCTTGACCTTCATTGAATTATTTGATGTAATATATGCATGCAGAGGCACTACTTGAGCTTTCAACTTGACAGAAACAGTCCACTTTGAATCCTAACTGGTTCCTTTTCACACAAAATACAGGTCTTTAGTATTCACTCCTTACGTCGTTGCTGAGGACAACCAGCACACTGGAATTCTCAGGGTTGTACGTGATCTGCGTCAAGGGGTTGAAAGGCAAGTTCCGGTCGGTGAAGCTCTTTCCAAAGTCCTCAGAGACAAAAATGCGGGTCTTGAGGTCTCCAGACACTTCAGCTGTCAGAATCACCTAAAAGCCAGAGTACAACAGGTTCTTAACTGCAGGAACAGTGGTTAGTTCACGTCTAAAAATACTCTTGATGAGTACATGAAGTACATGTGGTGAGGACTTGATCAAGATAAGGCTTACTTTGCCTGAGTTATTGGGGCTGATTGCAATGCCGAACTCTGATCTTATGAAGGTGTTGTTGATGAGGCCGGTTACATCCTGAAATGACTTGCCGTAGTCCTCACTGGCAGAAAAATTGTTTCAGTCAAATTAAATGCAAATAAAATGTAAGCCATGTGCATTTTTCCAGATTAAAAGGTAAATTCCATTACCTTCGATAGAGTTTCGACTGTCCAAGTTTTACCATGAAGAACGGGACCTGAAATGTCGTCAAGGCCAGAATAACCTGCCAAGAAGGAAGGTTAGCTTGAGGAAAGTGGACCATGCACCATTTATTAAAGTGCACAAGACCCTTAAGTGTGTCATCTGCATTCAGTGTACAAAGCCAAGTTTGCAAAAACCACACCACATAACTAACGGAAAACATGTTAGGTGCAAATGGTGATAAGTACACTCACCCCTGTGCCATCTCCAACCCAAGCCAGCGACACCGAGCCACTCAGGTCATGGAATTCAAACTGAGACAAACAGACAAAACATGTTCATAAATATATAAAACATAGAAAAGGCAATAATAGCAGTGTGGACTGTGTGAAACAGCACAACTATTTCAGCTGAGCTCACAAAAAGGGACAAACTGACATTGCAATTATAAACTGCAGCCACAGCCTATTTGAGTTTTTGCTTCAAATGTATTTTTGCTTTGACTGGCAGCATGTTTCACCTCACCATGTGTTCTGGCATAGACAGTTTAGTGTACAAAGTGTCTGTTCTGTTAGCAGAACAGGCGAGCAGACCTAAAGCTTCGAGCAGTTACTTGAAAGACTTCCGAACGCAGCTACAAAATACCACAAGACAAGTAATTTAATTTTGGGGGAAATTAAACCTTAGCTGTATTTAGCTGAATTTAGCTGTAGGGCTAGGGCAAAAATTAAACAAAGAAAACTTGCTTTAATTGTCAGAGTCAGTTACGAAAGCTTTAAATCTTAAGTTCTATCAAGTGTCCCATTATTCATCAACTGCATGGATGGTCACAATGGGTCTTTTTCAGCATAAGTAGCTTCAGTACTGGTTGAACCTGCAGCACTATCCTCGGGGCAAGGAGGCGGCTGAGCCACTGGGAATTCTATCAACTCCAGATTACTGGGGACAAGTATACAAAGACTGCAATGCAAAGTTGGTCACATGGCAGTGAGGAGCTAGGGAAATAAGCAGCACAGGACTCTCGTTTGCTTTGTGGAAAGAATTGCATAGTTGTGTAGATCAGATGTTTTATCTTCCTGGATAGAGTATATGCTATAAACAAAGAAGAAGAAGAAGAAGAAGAAGAAGAAACAACAATCTCTGAAGCTTAAACTTTGCTTTTGATACCACACAAACACAGCTTTAATTACAAAATAACTGCTGCACAGCAAGTCACATGGATTCCCACTGGGCCAATTTTCCTGGAAACATTAAGGCATATTCACTGAGTGAAGGCAGAAGAAAGATTGGATAGTTTAATACCAGAATACAGTTCCATGCTTAAAATGACAAATAACATACAGGTCACAGCCTTTAGTGCAACGCTTGAAAAAGCATTGATGTCATTCTGTGCAACCAATGCAAGTCTAAAGCATGAGGAAGACTAAGTACAGTGTACCTCACTGCTCCAAATATTAAAGAAAAGAAATCATTGCAGCCTAGAGGTGTTAACCAACAAGGCAATGGGATACCTTGCAAGACTGCCTGAGCCTGGGAAAAGTACTAGGTACATTGCAACACCTCTTATGGTAACACGTAAGGTGTTTTGTTTTGAATCTATGTTTATTGATACAAAAATACTGGTTTATGTATTTTAGGCTACCGGACATACAGGTAATAAGAGGACATGGGAGTCCACTGATGAGTATGAGTGCAATGAATAGCTTATTAGGCCTAGTCCCTGCACTTGCTTAGCACCTGCGTATCATCTTCTCGTTGTCAGACGTGTGAAGTGTAACAGGACCTCAGAGGGTAACTTACATCGTGGGTGTTGGCGTCCAACTTGGTGACATATCCTTGAAGAGCTTTACACGAGTCGTCCTCTTCGGTGCTTCGTCTTTTTATCTTGTGGTTTGGTGATGGAGCCAGCCATGCGGGAAGAGACCTCTTTACGATTTTCGCAGCTTTCCCTTCAGTGTTTGAACGCCTCACAAAACCTGACTGCCCGAGGGGCTTGGAGCCCAGCTGAAAATCTACACCTGCTGTGAAAGTGCAAGCCGATAACAGCAGGATGCCGCGGAGCAATAGTCCCATCTTCGTTCCTATTGCCACTGACAAAACAAAGGAGAGGGGTTTAAAAAAAGACAAAAACACGTCTTTGTTTTCTTGTCTAGAAACTGAAGGTCGCTACAGCTCTGCCACGGATGACATCAACAAAACAGTAGTCCTCCTGACAGCGACTATTTCTATTTTGGGCTTTGGAAACACGGAGCGCCCTCGAAGCTCCAACTGTCTCACTCCGCGGTAGCGCAAATTAAATCAATTTTTTTTAAAAAAAATCGTAATCTTGCAAATCAGCCGGCGTGCTACCGCCAATTATCCACAGAGTAACTCCTCACCAACATGATACACTGTGACAAACATAGGAATTGTGTCTGCAGGTCGTAATGCTCTATGCAGAGTGACGCTGCGATTGGCTGGTCTTTAACTGTGGCCCACCTATCAGGCCTTCCAATTGGTTCAATTGTGAAAAGGCAGTGCCAAAAGAATGGAATGGAGTGGAGGAATGGTCTGGCATTTATACACGAGCCACATTTAACCATACATTTATTTACTCTACACCAGGGATGTCATGCTCATTTTCAAGTGGGCCAGACCAGTGAAATTGCTCTTTCTGTCTGTGTAAAGAAGTTTAACCATTTCCTCAGTTATCTTTACATACAATCATACAGTATGATACAATTTTCTTTAAATGAATAAAAGTCGTTTTTTTGTATGGCCTGGCACCCTCTCAAAGTACATTTAGCAATTCTGTTTCAATTCTGACTAATTTAGAATTCATTAGACTTGTGCATGTGATGCATAATAATCCCATGACTACTGGTCATGTGTTCAAAATAACTTAAAATAACCCTTAACCCAAATTCAAAACAATCCTTAGCTGTCTGGATATGCAAAACCCCAACCCAATACCTGTGATCACATTTGAACTCTGGGTTTTAGTTTTTTCAGCAAATCTGTTGTGAAGGAGTAAAATAATATCTTGTCATATAAATGAAGGTGGGTAGACTAGATCAGAAGTCATGCTACTTGAGTGTTGTGGCTCAAGCCAGTCCAGCAACTCTGCCAGCAGCAAAAACATTGACATAGCATGGCAGCCCAAAATAAAAAACCTGTTGAACAAGTTTCAGTGGCATAAAACTCCCTGAAAACTTGAGTTTGAATCTAGAATTTAGCTATTCCCAAATGTTTCTTGGGTCATCAAGGATACCCCATTAGTTTTGTTCATTGAAAGTATGTTTCTTTATTCAGATACATTCAGGAAACCCGACAATCACAACTGTGAAGCAGGATTCCTTCACAAAGAGGACTTACAATGGACCTGAACTCCCTCCCACTGCATAGTCAGCTAATAAAAGGTAGGGAACAAAGGCAGTTTTATTCATTCGAGATGTGACTTGCAAAAACGAGACCAGAACTTTTCTAAAAGAACCAGAATCTTCCAGTCCTGCTGTACAGTGTGCTGAGGAAAATTAGTCATATTAATAGATGGCACAGTGTACCTTAATTTGCCTGAGCACCCAGCCCATAAACAGGCGTTGCCATTCACTGAGACTGTGGGAAAGGAGAGCCTCTGTGTAAATAAGTTTGACCCACATTGACGAGAGTCATGTTAATCACATGACATGAGTTTAATAATGCTCATTTAACATCTGCAGAAATCTCAATATCTATCAATCACTCTTACTGTGCAGTCACTTAACATTTAGCTGTTTGCTATGATATCAGGCATCGTTAAAAAAAAAAAATCCTCCTCACCTTGTACTGTCATTAAAACAAATTAAATTGTTTAGTGGAGCCTATCAGCCATAATTAGTGCCTGAACAATTGTTTGAAAGAAAAGTTCCACTTTTAAGAAGCTCTGACATATAAGCATGAAAAAGCATGAAATACCACACCCAGATTAATTTTGGCTCTGCAGTTCATTAATATATAAAAGAAGGTAGGATCTAATAGGGGATCACACCTGATCCCCGTGCATGCCTATTTACAGTGCTTGATACAATGTTTAGACCAGGTCACGGCTCACGGGCCACATCCAATTATATCTGGCCTGCGAGATAATTTCATATGTAAGTTATTTGGTATGTGGGAGCTGAATCTTTTGCCCTGCTGACAATCCATGCACACAGGGGTGGAACTTCATTTTGAAAGGTTTCAGTAGTAGTTAAATGCATAAAAATAAGGCTTTTATGAAAACACTGAATAAAAATTGCTTCCTTGAAAAAAAGCCAAAATTTACAGTTCACTATTAAATATTACATCAAATAAACTATATACAAAGTGTCTTTAAAAAGCAGAGATGCAGAAATGTCTGCATGTAGCATATGTATTGTCATGGTCCGCGGCCCGGTGTCCGAGGAGCTGATGGGATGCCCACGCCCACGGGTGTGGCTGTCGACTCTACACCTGCATCCCATTCCAGGCGATCATCAGGTGGACTATTTAACCCCGCTCAGCCAGCTGCTCCACGCCAGTCTGTTAGTCACCTTTCAGCGGTAACTTGGCCCCCAGGTGAAGGTGGTTGTGAAATTCTGAACAACGCTAATCCTTTCATTGTGTGCTCAGGTAACCGTTCGGCATGTTTTGAGCCTCCTCCTGTCTGTCCTCCTGCCCGCCTGGAGTTCGGATGACCACCGGTCATCATCTCCTCTGTTTCCCTGCAGCTCTCCCGCGGACCCTCACCCCTCCCTCCGGTTCCCACGGCCCAGCCCTGATCGTAAGATTAATAACTCTACCCCGCGTATGCTGTTATTCCCCCGCTCCCCAGTAACTCTCTTCCTCTTTCTGTAGCAGCCTGATTACGGCGTTCCCGAGTTGCTTATCTCCCGGTCCCTTTGTTTCCCATTTACTCGGCGTGTTTTCCTTTGACCCTTTCGGGACACCCGTAATTAGAAATAAAGTTTATTTTGCGTGCACCTTGGCGTATTGTCTCTGCTTCTGGGTCCAGCTTGTGTGCTGAACTACGGCTCTTGACATGTATGGTTTATCCACAGCTGCCCTAAATTACCAGTATTTGTAATAACCTCCTTGAATCGCTACCTTATTGTGGTGGACAGGTTTGTGTGTCCCAGGAGCTATGTTGTCAGGGGGGGGTGCCCCCTGGTAGCGTCTCCCATGGCAAATTGGTCCTGGGTGAGGGACCAGACAAAGAGCCATTCAAAAACCCTTATGAGTAGAAGATCAAGAGAACAGTTCACTGTGCCTTTGGTTTGGGGAACAAGTTGGTGGACTCTGTCATCTTACTGGGAGACTTCAATGTTCATGTGGGCAACGACAGTTTGACCTGGAGGGGTGTGATTGGGAGGAACGGCCTGCCAGATCTGAACCAGATGAGTGTTCCATTACTGGACTTCTGTGCAAACCACAGTTTATCAATAGCGAACACCACGTTTGAACATAAGTGTGGTGAGGCGTGGCCCGTGGTGCCATGCGGACACACCTGCGCGGCATCTGCAGATCACGCAGATGCTGTTAAAACACGGGGACTCAGGGGTTGGTGTTGTTGTGGTGTGACGCATGTCAATAAAGATGGCTCAAAACTATGATCCTTGGACCCGTCGTGTCTCATTCACACCACAATAAGTTTTTCCATAAGTGCACGTAACACCAGGACACCCTAGGTTGCAGGTCGATGATTTATTTTGTATTCATATCATCAGATCTGTGTCTGTATATTCTGGACACTCAAGTGAAGAGAGCAAGTAGTTGCTGAAGCAAATACTATGGGAGTGTGGGAGTTCAGAGAGGCCTTGGAAAAAGACTTTTGGACTGCCTCAAAGACACTTTGGCAAACCGTCAGGCTGTTCAGGAGGGCAAAGGGGTGCTGTACCTGCACTGTGTAAAGTACCGGTGGAGCACTGCTGACTTCAACTGAGGATATTTCACTGATAGGTCTTCCGTAGATGAAGCAGAGTCTGGACACAAGGGGAACAACTCGTCCATTACCAGGGGTGAGGTCACCGTGGCAATTAAACATCTCCTTGGTGACAGAGCTCCTGGGACGGATGAGGTCCGCCCTGAGTTCCTGAAGGCTCTGGATCTTGTAGGGCTGTCTTCGGACACACCTCTACACTGTTGCATGTAGATCAGGGGCAGTACCTCTGGATTGGCAGACAAGGGTGGCAGTTCACATCTTCAAGAAGGGGGGACTGGAGGGTCTGCTCCAACTACAGGGGGATCACACTGCTAAGCCTCCCCAGCAAAGTCTATCCCAGGGTGCTGGAAAAGAGAGTCCATCTGTTAGTCGAACCTTGGATACAGGAGGAACAAGGAGTGTTCTAGGTCACGGGACACTGGACCAGCTCTTTACCCTATCAAGGATATTTGAGGGTGGCAAGGGTGGATGGGAGTTTGCCAGTCTACATGTGTTCTGTGGGTTTGGAGAAGGCATTTGGGAATACTGGGAGTCTGGCCCATTGCTATGAGCCATTTGATCCTTATACACTCTGCCAGGGTACCTGAGATACCCTGAGTGTATGTCCACATCCCACCTATGGTCACGAGCTTTGGGTAATTACTGAAAGAACAAGATCGTGGATACAAGAGTCAAAAGTGAGCTTTCTCCAAATTATGGCTATCCTTAGGCTAGTGTTCTGGGCATGTTCCCCTATTTCGAGGCCCCAGGGCAGACCCAGGACATGCTGGAGAGATTATATTTCTCAGCTGGACTGGGAATGCCTTACTGTTTCCCTGACCCCCGGACAAGCAAAAGGAGGTGGCCAGGGAGAGGGAGGTCTGGGCTTCTCTGCTTAGGCTGCGGCCACCATGACCCCTGGTTAAGCAGAAGAAGATGGATGAATGGTAATAACCCAAATCATTTGTTATGTTTCATGGCTAATGGCCAGTCAGCCAATATGCATAAGCTCTTGAAATGTTGGTTTTAATGTTAAAATATAGTTATTGTTATTATCCACAAGTTTTACAAACAAAGCTGGAAAAATTGGATAGCACATTGTTATCTTTTGATTAAGATGCCAGATTGCATTTGCTTACTTTCACCTGTAAAGACAGAAATAAAATCTGTTTTTTAGTGTTTGAATGTTCTCTTGATTAATTTCTGTCCAGTGTGCCAGCTAAAATGGGTGTGTAAAAATATGAATTCAGTTTAGTGCATTCAGTCATTTTAAACATGTTTTTGACAGATTTCTAAAATATTTATATTTTCTTATTTTTGTGGTAGATGGTCTCACAAATTTGTTAAGCACTGGAGGCCTAACCTGCCATGAGATCAATTAACTAACAATATAATTGATAATATGCCAAGAAACACAAAGAAACAAAAAGCAGTCATCTAGTTGTACATGATTTGGATCCACGTTTGTTAGGCACCAGATTATTTGATTATGCCAAATTTCATTGTGGGATATGCACTTTATATCCACAATATGAAGTAAAATAAAACT